GGTGCCCAGGGTCCTAGGAGAATAAACCCAGAAGTCACTGCTGACAGTAACTCAGGCCATGTTTCTCTGTTGCTCAGATCCTGATCTCGGCAGATGATGAAATGGAGGAGTCAGATGCAGAGGAGGACCTCCGCAGACTAACCCCACTTAAGCCTGTGAAGAAAAAGAAGCATCGCTTTGGGCTGCCTGTATGACACATTCCCTTGCAGGAGATGACAGGTTTGGGGCCAACCTGGCTGCTGGATTAGCAGATGGTCACCCCACAGCATTATCCCTTCCTTCCTCTCTGCCTCTCCTCTTCTACCTCCATTCCTCTTGCTGTCTCCTGCTCTCTGCCTACCCCAGACTACTGTGACTTAAAAGAGGAAAGAGGAACCAGCGGCCAGGGATGCTGTGGGCAGCTGGAGGGCCCCTGCTCAGTTGCACTACAAACACTGACCAAATATGCAAGCTAAGAGCTTTGTTTGTTTGTTGTTGTCCTGAACAGTGTTGTGAGGGACCCTATGTCTGACTGAGTGGCATGGTGGAAGAAACCATAGCACATACAGACCTTGGTGGGTCTTCACACCGAGGCTGCTGACTCTATGGACATACGTTGTGCTTGGGGTTGACAGTCATTCATTGACCAAGTTGGAATTAGAATGCTTTCTTACTCCAAGTGGCTTTTTGTAACTCTTGATTTCTAAAGCCTGTTTTACGAGCTATGACAGTGTTACTGTTTTTTGAGTATGTGTTTATTTCCTACAAAATACCTACGCACTAATGGGCAAAACATAGATTTTTAAGTCTTCCGTATGCTATTGACTTTTATACTTTTAAGTTATATTTTTATACTATTGTATTTAAAAACTTTTTAAACCCCAAAGAAGTGGATTTGTTTGCCTTTCATGGGGTATGAGCTGGAGAGAGGAAAAAGTCAGGAGTTTTTTTGTTGGCACTGTTGTTAAGTAATGTCTGGTAATAAGATGAGGTAAATGATCCTGTAGGAGGGATAAATGATAAATGATAGCCTTTATCTGGAAATAGAAGGCTGGTGATGTGTAAAGGTGAAGCATGAGCATGAGGCAGCTTTTCTGAAGGTGATCTGGGTGCCCCAGTGTGTGGATCAGGAAGGCTTCTTCTAGGGCCCATGAGCTCATTGGCATTTCTGCTGGCAGGTTATAGACCTTGGTTATATGTGACTGAGAAAGAAGTTCAGGAGTTAGATCTTTGTGTAGCAAGGAATCACAACCACCAGGCTACCCTTGCTTGTTCCCTGTTTCTCTTCATAGTCTCAACCTCTTTGCCTCCATTGTGGGAGCTACAGAGCCAGCCTCTGCCCTACCTGTCACCTGCTGCCATCTGCTTGCTTGTACAACAACTGAAGAACATCCATTTGGCTAGATGAGCTTGCTTTCACACACTCCAAAGCTGTGAGGTAGCTGAAGAGGCAAGAAAGCCAGCTGTCTAAATTCACAGAGAACATGAAGTGCTTCTAGACTGTGCTCCCACTCTCCCCCTTGGGTTGACATCCACTCCTCAATATGGCCACTGGTACTCTTAGTTTGCTTTAGGGTGGAACAGGGCAACCCTGCAACTGTCCCTGCTATAGACGCAACAAGGTGGAACTGCCCACTGTTTGTTCAAGCCAAGAAGCAGACATGGACATTTAGGAACAGAAAAGTGCTTTGCTACAGTGCTAGCTAGAAGTGAGATGACCCAGGCTTTAGATGAGACTAGTATACAGGGAGATTACTCTAATCAGAGCCCTCTTTTTAAGCCCTATGTAAAAGTATGTTTTACTTAAGCATGGGTCTGGATATGCTTCTGTGTGAGCCAAGTGGTTAGATGAGGCACTTGGGACTATCCTCTGCTACTCAGCTCAGTAAGATGGCATCTGTCTGGGGACTGCATTTCTCCAGTTCTCAGTTCTTCCCTCTACCTACTATTATCCTATGGCTGTCCTATCCCCACCCCATCTCTAGTGAGACCTTACTAAGTTGTATTTGGGAAGAGGACTGGCATGTCTGGAGAGACAGTTCCTGGTGGCTTTGCTGGTGCAGTGCTTGTTCTCCCTTTCTGTTCCATTATACATTGGCCAACCTGTAACATAGCTGTTTCTGCCACCTTTGTTGACACCTTCCTGGAGCTCAGAGTCAGGGCTTCACTTCACTTTCAGAGTCAGGGCTTTCACTTTAGAGACTCTTTGTGTCTCTAAACCAGGCATAGAAATAAGGGATCCACACTGTGAAGCATGGCAACTCCAGATTGTATAGGTTTCAGATGACCGCATCTTCAGGCTCATCCCAACTCCTGCTGAGCAGTGGCTTGGAGGACAGTGAACACAGGTATTCTCCTGTGGGTTTTTGTGATCTTCAATAAATAGGCTTTAGTCTCTGACCTGCATCTAATTAGTTGGCGCAATAAGAATGGAATTCTAACAGATGTCTGATCAAACCAGTGGGCTCCTGGTTTGCAGGTTGGGCAGTTTGGCATCCATCACATGTTTTGCCTTACCTTTCTGTGTGGATGGTTATACCTACACATCCCTGGGAGAGCCTCTGGTGATCACTGTCCCATGAGAGTGGATGCAGAGAACTGTGGTCAGGGCTTTCTCCTGAACTGTCTTTCCTCCCTGGCATGAGTTTCCTCACCACCTGCTCCACAGTGCCTTATGAGGTACAGCCCTTCACTGGCCAATGTCAAGCAGCACTATGCTTGAAAAATGACAGAATGAATACTATTATATGCTGCCAATTTGATTTTTCTAAGTCTGGACCTTGGCCAAGGCACTCATGGTAGAAACTTGAAAATCAAGGTCATAAAGGAATTTCTTATTATCAGTAAAAATAAACTAATGAGTCAAATGAGCTTTCATTTGATTGGAAGAGATGATAGTTTTCATTCCTTCAACTCTCGGTAGGACATGGACAATGTCAAGGGGGCAATGGCTTCTCAGTCTCTTTAGCCTGAAGATGTGTGAGGTGAAGGTCCATGGGCGCCTCACCTTCTAAGCACACTGGTGGCCTCCTGCCTCCACCTTTAACTCATGCCCTCTATCACAACAAGTGTTAGGAGATAATGTCACCTCTTATGCCTCTTTCTTCAGGGAAAATGTACAGTGTCTCAAATGCAAGTTGTAACTTTCCTTCAATAGTATAGACTGTAGGCTGAGTCTAGAATCCTCATTTGAAGACTGCTTCAGGACAGTCCTCCAGACTGCAATTCATTGGCTTTCTTTTTTCCAGCTAAGCTAAAATAGGTGGCCTGAGGGGTCCTTGTGAGATGTTGGTAATCCTTGAGGGTCTTTGTGTTCAGTGAGGAACTTGTGGTCTGACTTGCTTTGAGCATCTTGAGTTCTGGGTGGGTGGGAAGGTTGGCTGGTTGGTTAACTCATTGGTTGGTTTGGTTGGTTTACATTTGATTTCTCTTTCCATGGAGTTCATTAGAAGCAAGTTGTGTGAGCAAAACCAGGCCCACATTAGCTGCCATCCAAGTGGGCATGTTTGTCAGTGGGAGTATTATGCATCACGGCAACACATTTTTTTAAATGAAAGGGAAGACCGATGTACCTACATTGTAAAATGGTTTACAATAAAGTTTCACATCTTACTACAGTTTTTTTTTTAAAGAAAGCATCACTTTTGTGGTCATTGGTTGTATGTTCCCTGGAGTGGAAAAGCTTAGTAGGGGGGAAAATATTGCCCAGTGAGAGAACAGGAAGCAGAGTGAGAATGAACCTTGTATCACCTCATGTTAGCAGTGAAACCAGATTGCCAAGGAAAGAAGCCAAATGTACTCTGGCCATTTCCACTTCCTTACTAAGAAAAAAATTAAGCCAGTTTCCTCCCAAGGAATAAGTTGTTGGGAAATAGAGTAAGAAGTAAACATCCGCATTCTTGTCCTCAAGGCCACACAGGTGAGCAGAACCAGCAGCAGGTAGTGCGGAAGTTGCAAGGACCTCTTGCAGTAACCCCCTTGGCACAATGGAAAGGCCTGCTCAAGGCCTGGCCTGCCCTTCACCTCCTCCTGGCCCCTCTGAGTCCAAGGCATTCCTAGATCAGCACCTATCTCCACCCAGTCCTGGCAGTGCTCACTGGGACCAGGATCAGAGGAGAGACTGGGATGAGCTTTGAGCTATGCCAGCCACAGACTGGCATTTGGGATAACCAGATATCAGTGCTTGACTGAATTCCATGTGCCTAGAACTGACAAGGATTAAAATAAAGGCCATCACAAACTGGGAAGGAGTTGAGGTATGTCTGATCTTATGGGGACAACTCTGACTTCCTATTCACATCCACTCCCACCTCCCCCCCCCCACACACACCTCAAGTTTAGGATCTTGTCATGTGACACACAGGAATTTCCCCTGCAAAGGAAAGGATGTTGGGAGCTCCCAGAGGGGACAGCTAAGCAACCTTCCAGGAGTTCCTTTAGGCTTCTTCTCTCCACAGACCAGTATCTGGAGTGGCTTCACTTGCCCTGCTACAGCATTTAAATTGCCCTTGGGCTCTAGAACTCTCACTCTCCATGACCTATTTCAGGCAGAGGTTTTCCTTAGGGCTCTCACAAGTATGCATCGTCTCCTTCCAGTCCTTCCTGGGCTCCTTATCCTGGTATTGCTTCATAAAGGATGAGGACATCCGCAAAAATAAGATAAACGGCTCCCTTGGCTCCCCTCAGCCCTCAACCTTAGTTTCTTCACCTATGAACCAATGGCAACCTCTTACTCTGAGTCTACTGCTACAGCCTAGGGAGCTTACCATGAGGAAGTGCTTCCATTTGACAGGCACAGTTTCTGCCCTGCTACTTAGATAGAAAGTTTTCCCACTGAAATCCACAAGGATGGGTAGAAAAAAGCAACCAACTGCCTCAAAACTTCCCTTCCCTCAGGTACAGGCCTCTCCCCCCACACACATATACATACTCATTCAGATGGGCCTGTGCAGATTGTTAGCTCAGACTGTCACATTCCAGGACCCACATTCATAAACACACAGCCAGTTACCAGCAGTGCCAGAGCCTCCCACTTCCAGATAGAACAGCTGTTTCCAAGGGTGCAGGGTCTCCTCAGCTGTCTGTTTTCACAAGGGCTGCTGCCCCATCATCTCCAAGAATAAACTGTGTGGACAACAGACTGTGTGGATATGAATCATCAGGGAGCCTGTTGGAGGAGGAGGAGTGACTTCCTAGGACTGCCAAGCAGACTATATAAGCTCCAGGGGGCTGAGCTCCACTCGGATCTCTTCAGATCTCTTCCCTCTGCTGCTGCCTTCCAGAGAGGTGCCTGTGGAGAGCCAGTTCTTGCTCAGCACTCAACATGTCCCAGGTAGGAGGGTCCAACATAGTCCAGGTTGGGGCCAAGGGATTAGGGGTGGGAGCCTGGATTCTATCATCTTTGGCATCTGTCTTGGGCTAAGATCCAAGCATAAACAGGAGGCAGCTCCTAGAAGGCTGAGCTCCAGGATACCCAGTCACCCTGATGGATCTCTGTACTGCTTAGCCTTGTTATTTCCTAGCTTCTTAGGAGAGCTCGGCTTTAATGTCTGGTACTTATATCACTCTTCTTGTGCCCTTGTATATGATGGAACTGTATAACTTACGGTAGTTGTGATCTCTGAGGCTGTGCAGTGTGAATGTATATTTGTATACACGAGGCTGTGCCTCTAGGTGCACAGTTCTGTCCCCTGTATCCCAGCAGGATGTGCCTGGGGATTGGGAAATATTGCCTGAGGAGCCTAGCCCAGGCTGAGGTAGGAAATCCCTGCACCTGCTCTCAAGGCTTAGAAAGGAATAAGACCTCAGACACACAGGCGCCTGGGGTTGAGGATAGGCTAAGCTCTGGTCTGGCTATCCCAGCACTGGAGGTACCACCAGATTAGCCTGCCAAGGGGTTACCTTAACTGCCTGCTCTATGGGTGAGTGCCAAGTTGGGACTAACTTTATGGGCATCTAAATTGTCTATCTATTCCCCTCCCAAACACTAAAAATACAAGTACTTTCTCAGAGGAGGAGCAATTCCTAAGGGACTCCTAGGCACCCAGTGATGAGGGGTTGGTCGGTCATGGGGCTTGAACTCTGGGCCTGAGCACTGTCCCTCAGCTCTTCAGCTCAAGGCTAGCACTCTTACCAAGCCACAGCACCACTTCCCATTTTCTGGTGGTTTATTGGAGGTAAGAGTTTCACAGACTTTGCTGCCCAGGCTGGCTTTGAACTGCGATCCTCAGATCTCAGCCTTCTGAGTAGCTAAGATTACAGGCATGAGCCAGTGGCATCCAACCAGTTTTTTAACAGATTCTGTAAGGCAGCTCAGCCTCAAACCAGTCCCTTTCCCCAGTGTGTCTACTCTAAACTTATCCAAGTCTTAGAGTGTTCACTGTCCCCTCACCCCCAGACACTCCCTCGACCCATTCCCTAGACTTTAGGAGAAGGGCAAATGTACAGGTCAGATCAAGAGGTCTGAGGCTCAGAGTTGGAATGTTGTCAGGAAGGCCTAGAAGAGGAATGGGCCTAGAATTGGCCCAATGAGCCAAGAGGAGGAGTGTCAGCTAAGGCATGAAGGTAGAACGGCTACCTTGAAGCCTTGGGTTATAATATAAGGCTCTGGATTCCCCAAGGCTGGCATTCCAGAAGCCCCCATTAAGAAGAAACGTCCTCCTGTAAAAGAGGAGGATCTGAAAGGGGCCCGAGGAAACCTGGCCAAGAACCAGCAGATCAAGTCCAAGACCTACCAGGTCATGCAGGAATGTGGTAAGTGTCTTCCACATGAGATGGGGTTTGGGACACAGATAATCTGCTGGTGGTGTTTGGCGGGAGGGGGGATGTCAAGGGTTCTTTTCTGAGTCCAGAACTCCACAGTCTAGGTGGGATTGCCCTAGCACTTGGGGCCTTACCTCCAAAGAAGCCAGAACAGGACAGATCTGACAGTGTCTTCTATACCTCTTACCCACACAGAGCAAGCTGGCTCAGCTGCCCCATCAGTATTCAGCCGCAACCGCACAGGCACTGAGACGGTTTTTGAGAAGCCCAAAGCCGGACCTGCGAAGAGCGTCTTTGGCTGAGAAGTGCATGTCACGCCCTGTACCACCCTGAACACCTTGACACAGGAGCCTTTCCCACGGACTCTTTTTTTAATGCCAGATCACCCCCTCATCCCTGCTATCTCTGAGACTGCCACATTTCCCTAAAGCCCTAGCCCTCTGTACCAGTGCCTAAGAAACACCAATAAAGAGGATGCCTGTGGCCCCAGCATTGGGAAGGTGTCAATTAGTCATTGGTCATGAATACTAACTGAAGGTGAAGGGGAGAACAGGGTGTGGTGAGGGGATGTTCGATGCCCTATCTGGACTTTTGAAAAGTCACAAAGGATAATGTAGGTGCTTTTAGGGCACTGAGATGCATGGAGACCTGGTGCTGACCTATATGACTGTAGACTCTCTTCTAAGTTTCATTGTCTTCTTAGGAGAGTTGAATTGTGCTGTAGCCTATTCCATTTTTTAAAAGCAGGCCACAAGCTGGGCGCCAGTGGCTCACATCTGTAATCCTAGCTACTCAGGAGGCTGAGATCTGAGATTGTGGTTTAAAGCCAGCCTGGGCAAGAGACTGTCCAATTAACCACCAGAAAACCGGAAGTGGCCCTATGGCTTAAGTGGTAGAACATTCACCGTAAACTGAAGAGCTGAAGGACAGCACCCAGGTCCAGAGTTCAAGCCCCACAACCAACAACAAAAAACAAAAAAACAGGACATAGTGGTGCTGCTCAGAACGAAGCCAGTAAAGGCTTAGGTTTACCTCTCCCTGCCATATTAGATGCTTCTAAGAATCTAAGACCCTGTGGGGCCATGGCCCTCAAAGCCTATACTTCCTGCAGCCTTGTCTACACTGACTTCTTGGCAGTTTATGGTCCCTGAAAAGATAAAGCCAGGTCCAGAATCCTCTCTGGCTGGTGGCAGTTTTTGTTGTTGTTGTTTTGATTTTTTTTTTGGTTGGTCATGGGGCCTGAGCTCTGGGCCTGGGCACTGTTCCTCAGCTCTTCAGCTCAAGACTAGTGCTCTATCACTTGAGCAACAGCGCCACTTCCGGCCTTTTCTGCTTAGGTGGTACTGAGGAATCAAACCCAGGGCCTCATGCATACCACTGAGCCACCTTCCCAGCCAGGTGGCAGTTTCTTAAACACTGTCTCTTCCAGACAGCTGGGCGAGCCCATTTTCTGCTCCTATCATGCTGCCCAAGGCCTGGGAATACCAGCTTCTCAGCTGTGCGCGATTCAGTTCTTCCCTCTTCAGACCTATGAACATTGAACCTTCAGGTTCAGGATACTATTGAGGCCTATCCAGCTGAGAGGGAAGGGCCATATACAGGCTGATTATTAACTCCTGGGGCTAGACTGGTAGGGCCTGGGCTCAAAGATGATGCCTGCTGACAAACCTTTCCATCCCCTTGGCAGAGGGAGCTGGCTACTCAGCCTTTCCCACATTCCCAGCCAGCCTGGCCTCCTTAAGTAGCTTAGTCTTGGCAAATACTCTGTAACCCAAGGGAGCAAACCTACTGTGGGGACAGAACTTAGGTTTGTTTACTGGGCCCCTTTGGGAGGCTCTTGCCAGAAATACTGAAGATATGTCCCCCTGTGTAACCCCAGGCCTTCCTAGAGCCAAGAGTGAGCTGTAAACAAACACATGCATACGGGCTTTTAGCTGTAGTCATGCTAAGGAAGAGGGATGATTTTACTTGGAGCTATAGAAATTTCTTTTAAGTCTATGATCCCTATAGCCAGATGCTGCCAGCTTTGAGGGTGTTAGGGCTGATGAGGGGCATAGTGTCCCAGCCCCCTGGAAGTAACTTATTGGCCTAGGGTCCTATGTGGATCCTCACAGCCCCACACTGCTGTCTCTGAGCCTTTCTCCTTCCCTGACCCAGGACTTGGTTCCTAGCCACACTCTGACTCACCTTTAGCCTTGTATGTCCGCAGATCAGGAGCTGGCTTCCCCAAAATCACCAGGAAACCTAAGTATCAGCTGCATTGAGTGCCTAATATTTCTTCACCTTATTGTTATAAAAGTAGTACTTCACCAGGTGCTGGTGGCTCATCCCTGTAACCCTAACTACTAAGGAGGCTGAGATCTGAGGATCATGGTTCAAAGCAGCCTAGGTAGGAAAGTCCATAAGACTTGTATCACAACCAGAAGTGGAGCTGTGGCTCAAGTGGTAGCAAAGTACCCAGGCCCTAAGTTCAAATCCCAGGACTGGCATGAAAAAAAAGCCAAAAAACCCACTTCAAGTGTAATGAGGGCAAATTGAGAAAAACTAATAGAAACCTTACCAAGGCCTTTGAACAGCACCCCCACATGCCTGGTGTGATAGCATCAGGCCACCCATAATGCCCTCTCTGCTACCTGACTGAACCCATCACTCCTTTTTGCCTTGCTTTCTTATGAGTAGACTCCTAGCATCATACCTCTGGCCATAGCATGTTCATGTTTGTGACTTGGTGTGCATCATCAATTTACATGCCTTTTTTGGCCCCGCTGGGGTTGAACCTAGACCCCAGCTAGATTAATGGGGCCCAAACAGCAGCCTAAGACCTAGGAGAGCAAAGAGGGGCTCTTAGGCCCAACAACTCTCAGAAATAAAGCATATCTGTTCTTCCTGGCTTCCCTTAGATACTTCCAAAGGGTACTTGATGCCTTCACCCCACTGTCCCTCTGCTGCCCACATTTACCTAGGCTGCCAAAGATCCCCCTTTCCCCAGAAGTCTCCCTGGAGTGCCTTCTATCCCTTGTCTTCCTGGCCAGCCTTCTTTTTCCCCAAGCTAGGCTTCAAGAACATCTTCACTGGTGGATGTTTTTGGGGTATGAGGGATAATACCCAGAAATGACCTTTCAGAAGGGATGCCAATACCCAACTCTAGCTAGAACCTGCCTTTCTTTGAGATATGTTCCTGGCCCCCAGCCATAGTTCACTGAACATTGGTCATTTGTCTGAGGCACCTGGAGTTTTTGGCTTAGAGATCTCAATTTCCCAGAACCTGCCCCCATAGGGGCGGGACAGCAAGCAAGTTACTAATTCATTCCCTACTTGTTCTCAGGTTCAGAAGCAGCCTAGCAGGCACCAGAGCCAAAATGAAGAACCCAGCTGCTGTCCACAGCTGCAGCATTGTGCTGGTCTTTCCTTTACTGCTGTCTGTCCTCCATACTGCTACTGCACAAAAGGTATCAGGTACCTCTGGATGCCTGTGTGAGCTCTTGTGTGTGTGTGATGTGAACTAGCAAAACAGAGCAGGTGTCTGGGAAACTGGAGGGAACCTCTAGGTATGGAAGTGTTTAAGAGTGTGTGAAACTCAGTGTGTATAAAGAAATGGTATTGACTATCCACCAGACACCACCCTGAGGCCCTTACAGGTAAGTATTCCCCCACTTACTAGAATGGGTCATGCACTTAGCCACTTGCCCTTTGACGCTAGAAATGGAATGGAATAGATAAGAATATGGCTTTATGAATCCAGCTCTTCCACTCCCTGACTGAGTGACTTCCAGGAAGTTGTCTGTTCTTTCTTCAATTCTATTTCCTCATCTGTAAAAGATGGTAATCACCAAGTGCTAGCAGCTCACCCTTTGTAAACCTAGTTACTCAGGAGGCTGAGATCTGAGGATCTGGGTTTAAACCAGTCAGGGCAGAAAAGTCTTGTGGACTGAATGAAAAAGGAGTAATAATGCAGATATGTGAAATCCAAGCACAAAGTACCAGATAAAAGCTTAGTGCTTTGTGCAGTATATGGCACAAAGCTAAACTTAAAAACCACTGGGCTGCTCTGTGCTGAACTCTATATGCTTGCAGCCATTAGCATATGAACAAACTTAGTGTAGACACAAGCCTGGCACACTGTAAGCAACAAACAGTATACGCACATGTTATCTGTGCTCTTTCCTAGCAGATTGTACACCTCTGGGTCAAAGAACATCTGTGTGGACAAGTAACTTTTGGAGAGATAGGAAAAATGGGCAAAGATTCTCAACTTTTAGATCCTGCTCTACTGCCAAATTTCTCCCACTTCCTGTGGGTCCCTCCTCAGAGAAGACTAGGAGGAGGATTTTCTCCCATTTTCATGAAGATCAAAGTTACCAGAAAATCAAAGAACTAGTTTACTGCCCTTTCACTGATGCTGGAGCCTAGACACAAAAGTCCTGATCCCACCAAGGGATCTGAAAAGAGAGGACTTCGGATCCCCCAATACCTATGTACTAGCTGTTCTCCAGGGGGCACTGGAGGCCCCCATAGAACAAGATGGATATGGCCCCTTCCTTGTTTGCTATAGGATGGGGAAATGAACCACAAAGCTGCCTCTAAATTCAGATGAATGTTCATATGGGAAATGCTTCTCTGGGTCCAGCCTGAGGCCTAGTCAGAGACTAGATCAGGTCTGGGAGACTGGTCTGAGGTGTGCGTCATGGCCCACTCTTGAAGAGCTCTGGTGGCACTGAAACTATCTAACCCTCTTCCCCTTTGCTGGTCCAGAATGACATCGACATCTACAGCCTTACTGTGGACTCCAAGGTTTCATCCCGGTTTGCACATACGGTTATCACCAGCCGAGTGGTCAACAGAGCCGATACCGTGCGGGAGGCCACCTTCCAGATGGAACTGCCCAAGAAAGCCTTTATCACCAATTTCTCCATGTAAGTACCTTCCTAACCCCTCCTCATCCCACACCAGTCCTGCAACTCCATGTCCTCTGGGCCCCTTAAGATTCTTCCAGAAGTAGGCACACAGGAAGCTGTGTTCCACCTGTTGGCCTTACAGGGACAGGAATGTTACTAAGGAGCTCAAAGATGTCTCCATCCTTCCTGCCATCCGGGCTGTCAAAAAAATGCTCAGTGGTAGAGCGCTTGCCTTGCATGCATGAGGCTCTGGGTTCAATTCCTCAGCACCACATAAGCAGAAAAAGCCGGAAGTGGCGCTATGGCTCAAGTGATAGAGCACCAGCCTTTAGCTGAGGAGCTCAGGGACAGTTCCCAGGCCCAGAGTTCAGGCCCCACAACTGACAAAAGAAAAAGTGCTACCAGATGGCAGGCAGAGGTCCATGGCACTTGTGTGTCTTCAAGGATCACAAAGTTGGGGTTTACTAATGCCAGAGCCAGGCAGGAAGTAGTCACCAAAGGCAAATCATCTCAGATTGAAAAACAGGACTTATGAACCCCTTTACCCCCATAGTGGAGAACTGCCTTGGCAGGAGACACATCTGCTCTGTCACTTCAGGAGATGCCTAGGATGCTTCTGGGAACTGGTGCCAGTCCTCAGTCCTCTGATGTGCCCTCATCTCTTCTTTCCCCCCCCCCCCCCCCGCCCCTGCACACACACAGAGTTTTGCAATGTTTGCTGAATTCAGCAACCTGTCCCTGGCCTCTGCCGCTTGACAGAGAGGGTATCTCTGAAGAACTGCATTGGGGGTTGGAGTCCGTGTAGTTGACACCTTTTCTCTTCATCATCCCCCCATACCAGACAGTAGCTTCTGTTTTCCTAGTCTTAAGCCTGGGCTGGAACCTTCCAGCCTCCACTAGGAGCCAAGGCCATGCCTCAGCTGATAGCCCAGGTCTGGCACCATCCTCTGCCCCCACACTTTGCTCCTCTATGAGATAGGGACACAAGGGCAAGGTTCTCTGCTCCTTGACCTGGTCAGTAGCCCAGAAAGACATCCGAAGAGAGAACTGTATCTGGGAGGAGGCATCAGACTGTTGGCGTCATAGCTGCTTCCTGGCCCAGAGTTACATTAGACCCGGGAGGTGGAGGAGGAGCTAGTCCTGCTCCTTACCCCATATGCTGCTACCCTTTCACACCACAGCCAGACAGAGCAGGCATCTATTTACCTGACATGTCCCTATTCACCCCTCTTGGAATATTTTCCTTTCAGTGTAATGTCCTGGACTCTTCTTTCTCAACCCAAATTACGCCTGCTAGGAGCAGTTCCACACCTTGGAGTCTTGTCTAGTTGTTCCATTTCTATTTCCAGAGATTCCAAGCTCCATGCAGAGTACCTTCCCTGAGCAGGAGGGAAAGGAGAGAGCTTCAGGGAATAGGATCAGATGGCAGCCTTTAGTCCTGGGTCTGTTTTCTGCCCAGATTCTCAACTTTAAGGCTGGATACAGGGCTGGACAAGATGTGGTTCAGAAAGCTCCTGATGGTGATTGCCCACTGCCTCTGGGAACAGCCCATGAGGGAAGAGGCACATTGGAATATGGAGCCAGGTTGCAAGGGTGAAGAGAGGGCTAACTAAAGACAGCCAGCCTTGTCTCCTCTGCTACCTTCCGGATGTCCCTTCCATAAAACCCATGTGGACTAACTATACCTGCCTCCTGGAGGTGGACGCCCCACCTAACCCCCTATCCAGGACCTCCTACACGGTATTCCTACACAGTACGTAAATAATAAATGGCCATAGGCTCTGGGAAAGATAGATGTCACTGTATTGAAAAGCATACCAAAAGGCCACATGCCTTTGGGAGGCTTATGGTTTGAGACTAACTCTTGCAAGTTAGTTAAGACCCTATCTCAATCAACAGCTTCAGCATGATGGTTCATGCCTGTAATACCAGCTATGTAGAAGGTATAGGTAGAAGGATTATGGCTCAAGGCTAACCCAGGCCAAAACACAAGACCCCCATCTGAAAAATAACTAAGAACAGTGGTAGAGCTCTAACAAATATGAGGCCCTAAGTTTAAAACCCAGGATCTCCAAGTAAAAAAAAATTTTTTTTAACACATCGAGTCCTAGATAATCAGGCTCTCAACAGCTCTCACTCCATTTCTTCAGGATCATTGATGGCGTGACCTACCCAGGAAACATCAAGGAGAAGGCCAAAGCCCAGGAAGAGTACAGCACTGCAGTGAGGCGGGGAGAGAGTGCAGGCCTTATCAAGTGAGTTGATTGGGAGGGGGCTATAGACAGAGAGACCTCTTGTTTATTTCCCTTGCTCTCCTCCAGCAAACATAGCCTACCTGACCTGGAGGGGCAGGCCTGATGTCCTTCCCCCCCACCCCACCCCCAGGACCACTGGGAGAAAGACGGAGCAGTTCCAGGTATCAGTGAACGTGGCTCCTTCTGCCAAGGTCACGTTTGAGCTGGTGTATGAAGAGCTACTTAGGCGGCATCTGGGAGCATATGAACTACTGCTAAAAGTGCAGCCCCAGCAGCTGGTCAAGCACCTGCAGGTACCTGGTCCTCCTTGCTGCTTGGCCTCCCATGAGCTCAGCTCAGGCTCTTGGCTATCCTGGTGACCATTATCTTGCCTCCAGATGGACATTCACATCTTTGAGCCTCAGGGAATCAGCTTCCTGGAGACAGAGAGCACTTTCATGACCAATGAGCTGGAAGATGCCCTCATGACCTCACAGAATAAGACCAAGGTAATGGAGGGTGGAGGGCAAGAGCATTTTGGGACTGGTGCACAATCCATGACAATTGGGACTCTTAGCTGGAGGAGCTTCTGAGATCTCCAACTATGCCACTACTGGGCACTTAGAGCAAGGCCTAGACACCAACAGTGGGCACTTGTGCAAAATCTGAGATCTGTGATTGATGGACTTGAGAAGCAGACTAATGACCAAGTCCTGCAGTCAGGCAAAGATGAGGAGATAGTTAGATTTCAGTGTTCTGAGCCTGGCCTCTTCCAGCTACACACACACACACACACACACACACACACACACACACACACACACACACACTAAAACAGCAGCTACACACACCACACACACACGAAAACAGCACAGCTTGAAAAACCCCTGGAACACTGACCTACAGCAGTAGCTGGAATCCTGATTCCTAGTGTGCCTACAGAGGTGGCAGATGGTATTGGCATGACCTGCTCCCCACTTCAGCCCAGGTTATTCCTCTAGGCTCACATCCGGTTTAAGCCAACACTGTCCCAGCAACAAAAGTTTCCAGATCAAGAGGACACAGTCTTGGATGGCAGCTTGATCATCCGCTATGATGTGAACCGGACTCTTTCTGGGGGCTCCATTCAGGTGGGTATACTTTAGACAAGAACAAGCAACCTTGCCAGGCGCTGGTGGCTCACGCCTGTAATCCTAGCTACTCAGGAGGCTGAGATCTGAGGATCGAGGTTCAAAGCCAGCCCAGGCAGGAGAGACTGTGAGACTCATATCTCCAATAAACCACCAGAAAACTGGAAGTGGTGCTGTAGCTCAAGTGGTAGAGTGCTCGCCTTGAGCTGAAGAGCTGAGGGACAGCACCCAGGCCCAGAGTTCAAGCCCCACGACCGACAAAAAATAAAAAAATTAAAAAAAAAAAGAACAAGCAACCTAGAAATCTGTCTGCCATGACAAATTTCCTGAGCATGAATGTTTAGAAGAAAAATCTGATGGGCCATCCTTAGTGTGCACCTGGAGTGAGCACAGAGTCATCCTTGAAACAGTGTCTTTCAAAGCACAAAAAGATTTTCTCTGTGAAGAGCTGCTGTGAGGGTTCCCTGTCTGCCTTTGATGCCAGGAGGCTCATCGCTCATTTTTGTACTCAACTATAAGAGCTTCTATCACACAAGTTTCTGACATCATTATGCTTCCTTTTGCCCCATGTTTTTTTTTTAAGTCTTTCCTCTGTTTGATAGTTGTTAGGCTGAACCTTTTAGTATAGCTGAGTCCAGTGCTGAATCAAATAGGAGGCAAAGCTAGGGAGAGTTCTAGTGCTCACATGTGAGAAAAAAAAGGTTTCTCCTAGAGAAAGGCTGAGCCATGAAGATAGCAAAGGAGAGGAGAAATGGGATTGTTAGCAGTGGGATGGAAAAGAGGGCATAGAACACAGGAGCTCATAAGATTTGAAATGAAGGTACGGTTTCCAGGGTAGAGCAAGTCTGCATCTCTTATCACCTCAGTGTGATCTCTCTCTGGTCACAGATTGAGAATGGATACTTTGTGCACTACTTTGCTCCTGAGGACTTGCCCACGATGCCCAAGAATGTGATCTTTGTCATTGATAAGAGCGGCTCCATGAGTGGCAGGAAAATCCAGCAGGTGGGTCCCAAGGGCTGGAAGTTGCCCTTGAAAACTCTAGTTCCCTTATGCCACCATCTGTTGTCTGCCTGGTCCATCACCTCGGAGGTGGGGTTGGGGCTTCTGACATTGTTCACAAAATACATACCATGTCACCACTCTAGACATCTGTCCAGGATGCCAGCTCAAGTGTCACGAACCCTCAGGAAGCACCTCTGAGCCCTTTGCTCTTCTCCCTCTAACCAGACCCGGGAAGCCCTAATCCAGATCCTGAATGACCTCAGCCCCAAAGATCAGTTCAACCTCATTGTCTTCAGTGGGGAAGCAACCCAGTGGAAGTCATCATTGGTGCCAGCCTCAGCTGAGAATGTGAAGGAGGCCACAAGCCATGTAGCCAGCATCCATGCCCTGGGAGGTGGGTGCCTATGTAGCCCCAAAGCCTAGGGAGCTTTTGGGATATTCAGCTGGGAGCTACTTCAAGTGTGTGCCCTTCAGGGACCAACATCAATGATGCCATGCTGATGGCCGTGAAGCTTCTGGAGAGCAGCAACAAGGCTGAGCTGCTGCCTGCAAGGAGCATCTCCATCATCATTCTGCTCACTGATGGTGACCCCACTGTGGGTGAGGAGAATGCAATTACTGCAGGTCACCCTGCTGAGGGACACAGCTGGGGCTATGTCTGGGCTTGCTGTGGGGCCTGGAGCTAGGAGGGGGGGTTACTTAGACCTCTTCAGGCTTTGGGGTTACAGAATTACCCATTGAACAAATTTTTTTTTCTCATTCAAACTTGTGAGTTCAGGTGTGACAGATCCCACAAGGATACAGAAGAACGTACAAGAAGCCATAGGAGGCCAGTACAGCCTCTTCTGCCTGGGCTTTGGATTTGATGTCAGCTACACCTTCCTGGAGAAGATGGCACTGGAAAACAATGGTCTGGCACGACGCATATACGAGGATTCAGACTCTGCCCTACAACTCCAGGTGTCTGTACACCCCAAGTGGAGTGTGGAGCTAGCCAGTTCCAGACTAATCTTTGTGACCCATGTCCCTGCCATCTCATAGGACTTCTACCAGGAAGTGTCCAGCCCACTGCTGTCAGCCGTGGCCTTCGAGTACTCAAGCAATTCTGTGGAAGCCATCACAAAGGACAATTTCCGGCTCTTCTTCAAAGGCTCAGAGATGGTGGTGGCTGGGAAACTCCAGGACAAGGATCTTGATGTTCTCTCAGCCAAAGTCAGTGGGCAGATGGTGAGTGTGATTAAATCATACTAAAGTGGAGAATAGATTGGTAACTCCCTTCGCCTTTTCAGCTAGAGGGCCTAGGTTCAAGTCTCAACCGTGCCAAGCACCAGCTGTTTGATCTAGAGTGAGACTCAAAGTGCCCTGGGTCTTAGGTTTCCCTTCAGCTACCTATGGATGACACCAGACTCTGCCTCAGTGAATCATTGTTGCTTCTGGGAGCACCTGTGTGTGCCTGGCACAGGTAGACATTGGGCAGTCAGTCTGCCCTTCCACTGCCTACCCATTGAGATCATAGCAGGGGCTCCTTCCTAATTGTCATCCCCATCAGTCTTTATACCAGCTGCTGGCATTGCTATAGGCCAGACAGGGCTATTCCCAGTTCACAGATGACCAGACTGAGCTCCAGGCAGGAGAAGCAACATGCACTGGGCCCCATTGCATCTGTATCAGGAGACCAGTCTTGCTCAACTATCTCTGCTTCTGTGCCCCAAGAGGCTCAGCCTGTGCTACCTTTTCAGTACATCCCTGTGATATCACAGAAAAACAACACATGCTCTGAATCAGGTCCTTCTTAAGGTACTGGAATGTTTCTATGAAAGAGACTAACCTATCCCTGAGATAGGTTAGTAGAGAGAGATAGCTTACGTAGAAACATGGAGTTACAGCTGGGATGGTCTTTACAAACCCAGGGCCTCCATGAAGCAACACTGGGAATTCTAGGCTGGCTGAGGATCAGAATGGTCTTCTTAGAAATGGAGACTTGCTAAGAGTGATGGATAAGTAGGAAGCAGGCAAAACCCAGATGGGAAAGAGAGGCATTCCAGACTTGTGTAGCAGAAGGGCAGCATTTCTATAGAGAATGGCAGTGGGCAAGGGGGGGCTAAGCCTAGACTCAGGATACATACCCAAGTATGGTGACTATTCATGCAGACTGTAAGACCAGCTTACTTGGCATCAAAGCTATCTCTGCCACCTCCCAGAGGTGATAAATGACAAAGTCACCTTAACTTCCTTATGCCACAGTTTTCTTCTGTGTAAAAATAAGAATAACTCATGGCCCATTTCATAAAGTTACTGTGGAATCAGTGTCCAGCCAAGCATAAACCCTCCATACATGTCAGTAGCTGATATTAGCCTATAGACCAAAGGTGCCAAAGCATGGAACCCAAGGTGATTTAGGGTTGTTCATGGACAGATATGTCTTTGTTTTAGTAGTTACTTCAGTAGTACTATCTCAGACCTTAGATTTTGTTTGTTTGTTTTTTCCCCAGTCCTAGGACTTGAACTCAGGGCCTTGGGCACTGTCCCTGAGCTGCTTTTTTGCTCAAGGATAGCACTCTACCACTTGAGCCACAGCACCACTTCCAGCTTGTTCTGTTTATGTGGTACTGAGGAATCGAACCCAGGGCTTCATGCATGCTAGGCAAGTACTCTACCACTAAGCCACCTTCCAAGCCCAGACCTTATTTTTGAAAATATTATTGTTTAAGTCCAAGTAAAACAATGTTTATCTATTCAGTGCTCATTTAAGGGAAAGAAAACACCAAATATATACCTGTACATGTAGATAGGGGAAATTTTGTGCAGGTGATCTATATATGCCAAAGCTCTGGATGAGAAACAGAGAGACCATTGCCATCAGGGCAGGCAGGAAGTGAGTCGCATTGTAAAGAGCCTCTTGGCTTCTGGAGAGACCTCTGTGAAGGAGACCTGGGCTCTTTTGCCCTCACCCCCTATTTTCCAAGCTGCTAGCTGAGCCAGCTTGGGACGATAACTCCCTGCACTTCTCACAGAAGAAAGTAGCTAGTCCATCTAAAGCCTGGGTGCATGCTTTTCTGTCATTGTTCCCCCATGCAGAGCCTCAGCATGGAGGCCAATTTGTTTAGGGACAGTTTGTTAGAATAGATGAAGCCCCAAATTTGGAGCCATACATTTTGTTCTCAACTCTTCCATGGAAGGCCCTTTCCTTCCTGTTTTTTTTTTTTTTTCTCCATCTGTAGAGGCGAGGGTGCTATACGCTGTGTTTCTTTCTGCTCCTCACTGAATTTGCAAGTCCTTCCTGATGCTAGCCTGGGATTCAGGTCCTATCTTTATTTCCTTTTCCCCTAAAGGGTCAGCTAACACTGAACTTTTGACTGTGTATCTATCTTACTGCTCCTGGACAGTTGCTGCTATCTATCCTTTATCTCCATCTCCCTGTCTTTAGAGACCTTACCCCTAGGCCCCTTTTATATTTCATCTCAATTCAAAAGAAATGAGGCCTGTGGTAGCCTGTTGCTAGCTGCAATCCAAAGCAGCACAATGGGAATACCAGAGCTGAAGAAATTAGAACACAGAGACATAGAGAGATAGCAGGGCCCAGGGGTCCCAAGGCTACTTGGGCCCTGAGTTCTCACAAGCAGGTATATTTATGTGAGTTCAAACAGGGAAGGTTACCATGGATACATGCAAAAAATAAAACATCTGTACTAATATTACAATCAGAGCCAAAACAGTTAACTGAGAAACACTGGTTCCCTTATTGTTTTGAGAAAGGAGACTGTAACCCCAGGCAAGATCCAGACATGAATTTAACTTTAGCCTTTATAGTCAAGCTCTCAGATCTTTGTCTTAGCTCTTCCAGCACTAAGGAAGTGGGGTGGCATTTCAGTCTCTTAACCCTCTCCAGAGCTGTCTGTTTTAATCCTTCCATGACCAGTTCTCAGTGTTCTGAGTACTACTGAGGCAGCATTCCAACCTCTCAAACCTTTTCCAGGTTTTACAGCTCAGTTTCAGAGTTCCCTACAGCAGCGCTTGAAAGTTGGCCAATGCACCAATGGCCCTACTTCCAATCAGGGCTCAGAAGTACATGCAGGGTGGGATGGCCCTCAGGCCCTTACTGCTTCTGCCCTGCTTGGGCTTCTTTTTCCAGCACATGCAGAACATCACCTTCCAAACTGAGTCCAACGTGACCCAGCAGGAGGAGGAGTTCCGGAGCCCCAAGTACATCTTCCACAACTTCATGGAGAGACTTTGGGCCTACCTGACCATCCAGCAGCAGCTAGAGCAGATGTGAGTGGCCCTGACTGCAGACCACTGGGGTAGAGTATCAGTGTTACCCAAACCCTTTTCTGGTGAAGCAGGCATAGCTGGCATGGGATTCTCCTGGGTGTGGACAGAAGGATCATGTCAACTCCACTTCTTCCTAGTGGACTCCCCCAGAAGGGACCACTGGAAGGGAGACTGTCCAGGTACCCAAAGACCTCCTGAGCTTTGATATCCTCTATCCACAGTATTTCTGCACCAGATACCGATTCACAGGCCCTCCAGACCCAAGCTCTGAACTTGTCACTCAAGTACAACTTTGTCACTCCTCTCACATCTATGGTGGTCACCAGGCCTGAAGGCCAAAAAGAGTCTGTTGCTGAAAAGCCTGTGGAAAACAGTGAAGGTGAGGCTAAGACTCCAGCCTCCTCTGTATTCTGGCCAAGACCAAGTCCTGTCCCCTCCCCTGACAGATTCCCATGAGCTCAGGAGCAGCCCCAACTTGTTTTATTGGCAGGGAAATTGAGGCTAGGTTTCCTGGCTCCCCAGATTAATTGCATGTGCCTATGTAGTTTCAGTGTTGAGAAGCAAATTTAAGCATAAACATATCAAATTGATCAAAAGCACTGCTTTTTCCCTCTCCCCTCTCCTTTTCCCTCTTCCTTCTTTCTCCCTTCCCCCACCATCCAGAGAACAAACAGAAGACAGTCGTCTCAGGAGGTAAGACCTAATGGGCCCAAAGGCTGGCCTGGGTAGGGTTCCTAGTGTGGCAAAAAGCTCACTAGGGTGGCAAAGGTCCTTACCCTGCCACTTCCTAGAAACAGTGTGTCTGACCAAACATGCTGGTGCATTTAGTCACCTGCTCATTGAAACACTGGCTATCCCTTAGGCCTTGTCCTGGGGACATAGTTCCCATCTATCTGGGACCCCAGAAAGGTAAGTCCAAGGAACAAACCCAAGTCTCACTGACTTCCAGGTTATAATCCTTCCATATTTCGTGCCAAAGGAGCCCGACTGTCCAGACTAACAGGTAGCACAGGAAGCTTGTTGTGGGGAGGGATGGTGAATGGAATTATGACCCTGGCTATAGACTAGGTTCTGCCGTTGTGGAGGGGAAATTGTTTGCCTGGCTAACATGGCTGGTAACAGGCCTGAAGTTGAACTTGGATGTGTTTGATTAGGCAGCAGCTATGAATATGCTCCCTCTCTCCTAAGAAGAATCACTACACCAGGTAATTTGAGAAGCGCTGTCTGGGGAGGAGTTCTAGCAGTGAATGATTCCCACTACAAAGTGGTAGGCTGGGAGTGGTCCACCTGCCTTCTCTATATCTCACTGATGGCACAAGGTCTCTGATCCCAATGAGGATCTATGTTACCAGCTCAGAGAAAGCTATTATGTGTCAACCTTTCCAAACTAGGAGTTTACAGTGTCTCTTCTGCTTCCAAAGATGCAGCTAGAGGTCTCTCTAAAATGAATGGACAGCCTGGACCTCTTCTTCCTTCTAGACGTCTCAGACTCCCAACAAAGACCTGGAGAGACCCAGTAGATTTGCCATTCCGTAAGCTACTTTCTGACTCCTGGTGGGCTTCAGTTTTTCTAGGAAGGTCACTAAACCTGCCCCTTAGAGTTGGGTAAGAAAAAACACTAAGTATGCCAGGTGCCAGTGGCTCACACCTGTAATCCTAGTAACACAGGAGGCTGAGATCTGAGGCTCATGGTTCAAAGCCAACCAGGGCAAGAAAGTCTCTGAGACTTTTATCTCCAGTAAACTACTCAGAAAAAGCTGGAAGTAGCACTGTGGCATAAGTGGTAGAACACTAGCCTTGAGCAAAAGAATCCTTTTTTTTTTTGCCAGTCTTGGGATTGAACTCTGGGCCTGGGCACTGCCCCTCAACTCTTCAGCTCAAGGCAAGCACTCTACCACTTGAGCAACAGCACCACTTTCAGCTTTTTCTGCTTATGTGGTGCTGAGGAATCTAACCCAGGGCCTCATGCATGCAAGGCAAGCACTCTACCACTGAGCTACCTTCCCAGCCCTGAGCAAGAGAATCTTAGGGGCAAAGCCCAGGCCCAGCGTTCAAGCCCCAAGACTGGCAAAAAGAAAAAAACACTAAGCACAGGCCAGAAAGGGAAAGTTACCCATTCTGTGTGGGTCCAGCCTATCCAGGAATCCTCTCTTCTAGCTTTCTGCCCTAAATGGTTAGAGCATATAATTTTCTGTGATTGCCCTTGCCAGTTGTCCACCAGCTTCCCCTTTGCCTTGTCCTCTGCATTTTATCTCCTTTGATGTAAGCTCTCGTGGCTTTCTTACTGTCCTTAGGTTGCTTTATACCTATTGTTCCCACTGGATGAAATTCATTCCTCATGATAAAGCTTTTTAGGAAGGGAATGCTTTCCCTATTCCTAAAGCTAGCATCCTCCCTTGTAGTTTTTTATCCCCTTAGTCTAGACTCAGATATGACTGCTGGGGGGCAGAGTGTACTAGAATTTGCTGGGTAGCAAAAGGGAGGGGTGCCTGAAAGATGTGCTGATAACCCTGAGTCTTGACGGACTGCTCCCTTTTTGTTTCCAAAGTTTTTGCAGCCAGCCCCACTGTTGCACAGATGGCTCCCTCAGATCCCCATCAGACTGTATTACATGGTGTGGAAGTTCAAATCAAAGGTACTCCCAGGCCAGAACCCCTGGAGTAACTTCTTGTCCTAACTGGAAGATCCAGGGAAGAGAGAACTCTGAGGCTTTCAATGAAAGAGAGTTCTGGCCACACTTGTTTAGTACTCCATCCTACAATGTCCTATTCCTCAGGAAAGGGCCGAATGAATCCAGATCTTTCTTTCTTCTTTTAGAAACCACCCAAATACACCCTTCCCAAGGTAAGTGGCTAATCCTCTCAGTACCCCTCCCTATCCTTTCCCCCTAGAACTTTTTTTTTTTTTTTCCAGTCACGGGGCTTGAACTCTGGGCCTGGCACTGTCCTTGAGCTCTCAGCTCAAGGCAGCACTCTGCCACTTGAGCCGCAGTACCACTTCGGGTCTTCTGGTGGTTTATTGGAGATAAGAGTCTCTCGGACTTTCCTGCCCAGGCTGGCTTTGAACGTGATCCTCAGATCTCAGCCTCCTAAGTAGCTAGGATTACAGGCACAAGCCACCAGTGTCTTGCTCCTCCTAGAACTCTTTACCTGCCCTAGGAACTGTGTCCTTGCTGTCCCAGTCCCCTTTCAGGCTCCTGCTGTCACTATGTCACTGCCTGGGCCCACAGTGAACCGGCTCTGTGTGGACATCAAGCGCTCTCAAGGACCCTTGAACCTGCTCTCAGACCAAGGCCAAGGTGAGAGGTGCCCCAGTCATTGACCTAGAGAGAGAGACCCAGACACCACTCACATCCATTTACCATATACTCACAGAGATATACACACTGCATGTGCAGATACCATGTGTCCAAACATGACACTCCCACAGCAACTTGGGTCTCTCTCTGGGCATTACATGCAGGTCTGCAAGATTGTGTATATTAGCATCAGATCACAGAGTGAGGGACCAGAGCCTGAGGATCCAGGGGAGCTGCCTGGAGCCATCCCAGAAGGCTGGGCCTTGACAGACAAGCAGAGGAAAGAGTGGGGGTGTTCTAAGATGGAGGAATCAGGGCTGCAGAGTACAGATCCCCTGTCTCTCCATGGGCCCCAAGTGGCATGGAGGGAGGGATATAGTGGGAGGAGTGGGTGTGCCAGCCAAATTCTACTTACTAGTCCTAGAAGAGCCTGGTCCAGCGGAAGTAGCAAGACAGACCCTGAGGATGAACACTTCTCAGGGACATTCAAGTAGAAATACCAAGAGCTAAGGGACATCCACAGCAACCTCATTCCTCTCAGGACTACATGGTCCCCTGCTTCATCACTGAGATATAGTTGCTGTCTGCTCCCTGAAGCAGAAATTTCCATCTCACCCTGGGCATCCAGCTAGTTCAGATTCAGGGACTAGACAAAGATTTATGAACTTGAGACAAGGCTCCTCAGAAGGCTTACCAAGGATGGCCATTGCCAAGGATTCAGGAGCCCCTTCAAAACTATATATGACAAGAGATGAATAAAGAGATCATAAGAGCTAGGCCTGCTATGTAAAGAATTACTGAGGAAGCTGGATGCTGGTGGCTCACGCCTATAATTCTAGCTAATCAGGACGCTGAGATCTGAGGATCACAGTTCAAAGGCAGCCCAGGCAGGAAAGTCTGTGAGACTCGTATCTCCAATAAACCACTCAGAAAACTGGAAGTAGCAGCTATGACAAGTGGTAGAGTGATAGCCTTGAGCCGAAGAGCTCAGGGACAGTGCCCAGGCCCAGAGTTCAAGCCCCACAACTGACAAAAAAAAAGAGTTAATGGGGAAAGTAATGACCCTCCTTAGGAGACTAGTTGATGAAGAACAATTCTAGGGTCATGGAATCAGATTCAGGTCAGTGATCAGACTTGGTTCTGACTTGTTCAGTCTACCTTCTCAGGACTTGAGGTTACTGGCCAGTATGAAATGGAGAAGGCTGGATTCTCATGGATCAAGGTGATCTTCAAGAACCCCCAGCTGCGGGTTCATGCAACCCCTGAACATGTGGTAGTGACTCAGAACCGAAAAAACTCTGCATACAAGTGGAAGGAGACATTGTACTTGGTGCTGCCTGGGTAAGACCTGGGTTGGGGTCCCAAACCGATGACCTTCAGTTGCACTGGCTGACAGTAACCACAGACCTAGGAATGGAATGGCCAGGTATCTTCTGCAGTGGGCTAGTGGGCTACAGTCCCATAGGGATAGAGATTCAGAGACTAGCCCTGAGCCCCTGTAACTCTGGAGGTTGCCCAGGAGTCATTCTGGGTTCTACTTCCTCTCAAACCTAACTCAGGTCACTTTCCCATGTGCAGACAGTACAGTGTGGTTTGAAGCTAACTATGTAGTAATCCTGTGTGACTCTGCATAAGCCATTTAGTCCCACTGGAGCCTCTGTTTCTTCACTGCAAAAACTACAGATAATTAATTATTCTATCTCTGAGCCAGAGGGATTCAGCGAGAGGAAGTCTTGGAGAAATGTGCCATCAGATGGTGCTGCACCTCCCAGGCACACCAGAGACCAACACTGTCTGCCTGTGAGGTCCTGATGATGATCATGCAAATACAAGATCACTGTTTTCTGGGATGGGGGATGTGAATGTTATCCTTAGTGCGCCATGTTAGTCACAGTTTTGTCCGTGTGACAAATACTTGAGAGAAACAACTAAAAGAAGGCAAGGTTTATTTTGTCTCATTCCCACAGATAAATGAACGCATACCCAACAAATTGGGGAGTTTCATTTGAAAACCTTCCAATTTCATAAAAGATCTCCAAGTTTTTTGTTATCTGATAGATACACAAAGATAAATTGCATTTCTGTGTCTTGGAAACCCACACTAGAAAATGAAATCAAGGGGCTGGGAAGGTGGCTCAGTGGTAGAGCGCTTGCCTTGCATGCCTGAGAGCCTGGGTTCGATTCCTCAGCACCACATAAGCAAAAAGAAAAAAGCCGGAAGTGGCACTGTGGCTCAAGTGGTAGAGCGCTAGCCTTGAGCTGAAGAGCTGAGGGACAGCGCCCAGGCCCAGAGTTCAGGCCCCACCACCGGAAAAAAAAAAAAAAAAAAAAGAAAATGAAATCAAGAATTTCTGTTCAGTTGTAGTGATAGCCCAAATACACATAAAGAAGTCAAGATACATATTTTATTTTATTTTTGCCAGTCCTGGGGCTTGAACTCAAGGCTTGGTCACTGTCCCTGAACTTCTTTTGCTCAAGGCTAACACTCTACCACTTGAGCCACAGTGCCACTTCCAGCTTTTTCTTTTTATGTGGTATTGTGGAATCAAATCGAGGGCTTCATGCATGCTAGGCAAACACTCTAGCACTAAGCCACATTCCTAAGGTACATCTTTTAGATAAAGTTAAATCACTGGGTAATATAAATGTGGAGCAACTGTACTTGAAATAACCTCAAGGTACTGGGCACCAGTGGCTCACACTTGTACTCCTAGCTACTCAGGGGGCTGAGATCTAAGGATCACAATTCAAAGCTAGTTCAGGCAAGAAAACCCATGGGAGTCTTATCTCTAATTCACCACTCCAACTCTGGAAGTAGAGCTATGGCTGAAGTGATAGGGTGCCAGCCTTGAGTGAAAAAGCAAAGGGACAGCACCAAGGCCCTGAACTCAAGCCCCAATACTGGCACAAAATCATCATCATCATCATCATCATCATCACCATCATCATCACCACCACCTCACAGTAACAGAGTTTTACTCCACATGTTTAAGGGAAACTAACATTCATAAAGAAACAAAGGGACAAGGATTTCAAGATTATTTTAAGTAAAAAAGGAAGATACAGACTTAAAAGAGACTTATCCTCTAGCCATTAAAACACATTATTAAATACTAATCATCAAAAGAAAGTGGCATGAGACACAAAAACAGAAGGTACAGAGTAGGTGTATCAGAGAAACTGTTCATCAGACTTTTTCATTTCTGTGACCAAATACTGAGAGAAACAACTTAAGGGAAAGAAGATTGATTTTGAATCAGTTTCAGAGTTTTTAGTCAACATGATGGTGATGTGGTGGAACAGAGTAGCTCAATCATGATAGCTAGGAAGCAAGGACAGAGAATGCCTCAGCTATCTGGCTTTCTCTTTACCCTCTCTCCTCCCCACTTTTTAAAAAATATAATTTTATTGTTAATGTGTTGTACCATTTCATAAGTCAGGTAATGAGTATAGTTCTTGTTTAGGACAAGATCAACCCTTCCTCTGCTTTCCCCCAGTTTTCCCCTCCCATCCCTGTCCACAAGTTACTGTTTTGGTGGTATTTGTGCTTGAACTCTGGGCCTCATATTTGATACACAAATACTTTACCAGTAGAGCCAAACCAATCCTTTAGCTGAAGGGTTTTTTTTGGTCTGTCATGGGGCTTGAACTCTGGGCTTGGGCGCTGTCCCTGAGCTCTTCAGCCCAAGGCGAGCACTCTACTGCTTGAGCCATAGTGCCACTTCCGGTTTTCTAGTGGTTTATTGGAGATAAGAGTCTCACAGACTTTCCTGCCTGGGCTGCCTTTGAACCATGACCTTCAGATCTCAGCCTCCTGAGTAGCTAGGATTACAGGCATGAGCTACCAGGTGCCCAGCTTTTTTTTTTTTTTAAGATAAGGTCTGTCACATTTTTCTGGGACTATCTTCAGATCTCAATCCTCTTATCTATGCTTCCTAAGTAGATGGGATTGCAAGTGTGACTCACTACTCCTAGTTAGTTTGTTGAAATGCAAATAACATTTTTCCAGAGCTAGCCTCAAACCCTGATCCACCCTAGTCTCTGGGATTACAGGCTTGGGTCACTATGCCCAGTTTTTTTCTCCTTTTTTATTCCATCCAGCCTGCTGCCTGAGGTATGGTAACACCCACATTCAGGGTAGGCCTTCCCCCTTTAATCTTCCTTCCTTCCCCTAATCTTTTCTGGAAATAAACTCCCAGATTTACCTAGAGATGTGCTTTAGTAATAAGGTCCTGGGTGCTTCCCAATCTAATCAAGTTAATAATCAGCATTAACTATTACAGCTCCTAAAGCATATACTCTCATAATTCATGACAGACTAGGGGCTGGGAATGTGGCTCAGTGGTAGAGTGCCTGCCTAGCCTGCATGAAGCCCTGGGTTCGATTCCTCAGTACCACATAAACAGAAAAGGCTAGAAGTAGTGCTGTGGCTCAAGTGGTAGAGCAGTAGCCTTGAGCGCAGAGAGGCTCAGGGACAGAACCAGGCCCTGAGTTCAAGCCCCAGGACTGAAGAAAAAAAATCATGACCAACTAAGTTTAAAAACAGGTTTTTAAGTAGTGCTGTCACTTGATGCAGGTGAAGCCTGTGACATTTCCCTCTAAAAGTAGAGACTCTTCACTTAGGGTTCTTGACTTTTATCACAGAATAAGAATCTCTAGATAAGTCATGATGGTAAGTGTTAGAGTAAATTAGACTGCCAGAAAACCATCCAGGTACGAAGAACAAAGGAAAGGTTTATGCCAGTAAAGGGACTGGCAAGACCCCTTCTCACCAGGTGAGAGGAAGTGAGAAGTGCCAGCTATTGTCTCAGGTGACTTTTTATAACCTCTGGGATTTGGGGAATTTGGCTGCCTTCTATGGTCATAGCTATCCCAAAGGGGTGATCTCTCAGGGAGGGGTAGGGCTAATCATTTGCTGCCTTTACTACATGGGCCTAGTGTTGCCTAGGGAAAGAGCATGTTAAGTATGTTAACCCAGAAGCCTCTTCTGGGCTAACAGGAAGAAAACTTGGCAGAACTTTACTAAGCAAGTAGGCATGCAGACAAATGAGCAAACAGAAAGGCAGACACACTAATGGTTTGGGTGTTCTAACGGAGAGACACAGAGAGACACACAGCTCTTTGGCTGTTAGGGAATTTTGTAAAGGCAGGGGGTCTGCCTTTAAGTTATGCAAAGGTAGACATTTTATCTTTGCTCTAATTATTCCTGGTGTTATACTTTCTCAGTTCCTGGGTGTTTGGGGGCATTTCTTTTATGTAACAATGCATCCTGTCATAAAACAGATGCTTATTCTTAAGATAAGGAAGGCATCCTGTTGTCTACATTTTGGGTAGGATGGTAGGTTTGGGAGGAGCCTTTCTCTCAGGAAGGCATATATGCTCCCCAAAAGATATTAATTCTTGGGGTGAGAAATGCATTTCTCAGGAAGGAATGCACCCTGTTGTCTCGCTGAAGCAAAGATACTGCTTCTGTTTTTCTGAGACGCCTTTATCAGGCCTCATTTCCCTCAATTTATCCTGCTCCACTCAGTGCCAGGGAAACGATATCATTAATCTAATGTTGGTCCTTTTCTACCAATAAGAAAGCTGAGCTCAGATTTAAGTAACTTCCTGCCCAAGGCCACATTATGACTTCCCAGACAAGAAGGGAGCCCCAGTCAATTCCATGTGGCCATCTGAGGCTCCATGCAGATTTCTCTGCCTTCCTGCTCAGGGGGTTGGGTTTCTCCACAGCCTGAAGATGACCATGGACAAGAAAGGCCTCCTACTGCTCAGTGGCCCAGACAAAGCAACCATTGGTGTATTGTCCTGGCATGGCCCTGAGAAGGGGCTCCTGCTCCTTCTTCGTGACACTGACCGCTTCTCCAGCCTCGTCAACGGGACCCTTGGTATTCCACCTGCCCTAAAACACTACTCTGCTTGGGAACAGGCAGCAACCTCTCCTCTTCTAGTCTCTCACACAGTGTCTCTCCTTGATGATTTGCTCTCTCTATCTCAGGCCAGTTTTATAAGGACCCAGTTTGGAGCCCACCAGAAACAGAAGATGACAGCAGAAGGACATTGAGGGTCCAGGGAACAGACTATTCTGCTACCAGGTGATGCAATAAAAGCAAGCCAGAGTGCAGCCAGAGACAGGGTGGTAACTCGGAGGCTAGCAGCTAGGCTCTTGCAGAACCCCATTCTTTCTTTCCTGGATCAGGAACTAGAAATAGTGGAAGGCCAATAGCTTAGGTACATACCTGAGCCAGCTCTCCATGTCTCCACAAAGGACAGTCAGCTCAGGCCCAAGAGTACTAGGATTGGTTGGGGACAGTAGGAAAGTCTTGCCTCTGTTACCAATTCTCGGAGCCCTAGACCATAGAGACCACAGACACTGGGTCACTTTGGTAACCCAGTGATGACTGGGCCTCCTTTGCCTGTGCTAGAGGGAATTTTGGAGGGACTTGGATACTCCCAAGCCTCCTGTCCCTAGCTATCCCACCTCTTCCCAGCACACCTGCGGATTTGCTGACTATCTGTCTCTGTCTGTTCTTTCTCCATGCCAGAGAGGTCAAGTTGGATTATCAAGAGGGGACCCCAGGGACAGAGATTTCCTGCTGGTTGGTGGAGCTGTAGTGCAGATGGGAGTATCTGTACCCTCTATGACATCTTGTGATGGGAAGATAGCTTCCAATCTATGGCTGAGGGGCACTGGTAGGGCCTGGATGTGATGGGGAGGGGGCATCCTATGCATTGAATAAAGAAAGGTACTGTAAGCCCAGGGAATGTGTCTGTGGTTCTATATGAGTAAACTCAGGATCCCATCCTGAACACCTACCCTTGTGGAACTTTAGACCTTTTCACTATTCGTCTCCTTTGGCCAGGAAGGCCCATGAAGAACTTTTAGCATTATTTCTTTTTTAAGTAAAAAAATGAAGACTAAACCACTCATTTGAAATAGGAGTGTAAAATTCATGTAGCCTCCACTCAGGGGCTTACACCTAGAACAGAGACTGTGGTTGCTTTACTGTTACCTGGATAGTAGAAACCAGTTTTTACTCCAAAAGTGGGGATTAACCTTTTCTCTCTTTCTTTTCTTATGTCTGGAAAATGGAGGAGAAAGGAAGGAAATAGGCCAGATTCATCTTCCACAAGCAAGGACTGTTCATTGAGATATAGCAGGGAGGGTGTGCACAGCCTTCCCTTGTAACGTGGAGACTGTAAAGAGGTGGGACATGAGCTGGGTTTCTATGAGGTCTGAGCAAGGAGGCAGAGGTTGATGAGAAGGCCATTAGGTAGATACTGTTACAAACATGAAACACCAGTGCCCTTGTTTGGCCTGGGGTTTTTTGGTTTTTTATTTACGTAGCGATTCAAAGGAGTTGCCTTTTAACAAAGGAGTTTATAAATACAATATATCTTGATCAGTGTCACCCTTTTCAACATCCTCTCCCATCCCTTTCCTCCTCATCCCTTCCCTCATTCTTCTTAATCTTGTAGGATATATCTTGGGTTCTTGAGTTTATTTTTCCCCTTTTCTCTTCATTCATCTACCCTTTCCCTTGACTCCACCCCACCCCTTTCTGGCTTGTTCTTTATAGGTCAACTCTCAAACTTTTTTTTTGTTGTTGGTACTAGTGTTTGAACTTAAGACCCTATAGGCACTGATGTATAGGCATTCTACACCTGAGCCATGTCCTGAGCTCTTTTGCTTTCATTATTTTTAAAGAGAGTCTTGTTGTTGTTGTTGTTTTTTGCCAACGTCAGCCAAATAGTCTAGAGACAATTTGAAGTACACAGGAGGACAGGAACAGGTTACCTCTGATAAACCACCAGAAACCAAAAGTGGTGCTGTGGCTCAAGTGGTAGAGCGCTCGCCTTGAGCCAAAGAGCTGAGGGACAGTGCCCAGGCCCAGAGTTCAAGCCCCATGGTCGACCAAAAAAAAGTTTCATGGACTTTCCTGCCAAGGCTGGCTTTGAACTGTGATCCTCAGATCTCAGCCTCCTGAGTAGCTAGGATTACAGGTATGAACCACCAGCACCTGGCTTCTGGGCAGGATTTTGTTTGGGGATCACCTCCTCCTTTCTTAGACCCACTCAGCTCTGCTGCTAGGAGATGCCTTTTTACACTTAGGCAGGACAACTCTCCATTGCACACATGTAAATGTGGACCTCATGCTGACGTGGATCCTCAACCCACTCAGGACCAGATGGAGCTGCACAGCCTGTTCTCTCTAAGGGATCCCTTCATAGGTTTGGACCTATTAGCCAATTTAACCCAGACCTCTGCTACATTCATCCTAGAGCCAGGAAAGGCCATCAGATTGGGAGGGCCATTCTAGTGCCCCCTCTCTAGATCATAAACAGCCATCAGACTGCAAGAGTGCCCCACAGCCTCCTGGGAGTTCCCTTCCCTTTAGTCCCCTCTCCATGTCCCAGACCAGTGTGAGCTCTAGAAAAGCCTAGTTTGGGCTCCAGCAGAAGGAAGTGGCTGTGAGCCCTTTGCAGTGGGAGATACTGATAGAGACCACCCCTACTGACGTTGAGGACTCTACAATTTGATTCCATTCTCTTCCATCCTTTGTGTGCCCCATGTTCTGTGATTTAACAAATAATCCACTGCTCCTCCAGTAGGGTCTCTTCCCCCCAGCATGCTCCTAGCCCCTCAGGCACAGTGCTGCAGAGGCAAAGGATTGGGACAGAATATAAGTTGGAAACAGCCAGTGTGTCTGGAGACTAGAAAACAAGGAGGAACATCTGGAAAGGAATGAGAAGAAGCTGGAGAGGCCAAAGAAGGCCTTTTGACTCGATCCCAAGCTCAATAAATAGGAGATGACACCTGTAGGGTGCTCTGTGGGCAGCTCGCTGAGAGGCAGGAGAGGAGGCAGTGAGACCCAGGCAAGGCAACTGCAGCCATCCAAGCTAGAATGCTTCTCCAGGAACCTCTCTCTGCCTTGTTACCTCACCCCAGGCTCACTGGTAGGGAAGCCAATGGTCATCATGAAGGGATGGGAGGATCCCAGGAAGACCTGGCCCAGCTGAAGGCAGGGAGCCATGAAAATAGGACTGGATTACTGTTTGTGTGTCCCATATCCTGGCCTACGATATTGTGTTAATTTGGTAACCCAAGGGAAGGATAGATGGGTGGCTGGGTAGGTGGTAAATGGGGGGAATGATAAAAGGCACAGATGGGTGGTAGAATAGATGAATGGGTAAGAGATGTATGGCTGGAAGGATAGTGAATGGATAATTTGGATCTGGAATGGCCCTCAAAATCCATGTGTTCAAAGCGTGGTTGCCAGACCATGGCACTACTGAGAAGTGATTGGTCCTTTAGGAGGTGGGATCTAGAGGAAGGATGTTAGTACTGGAGACCATGCCTTTCCTTTTATTCTTTTTGCTTCTTTTTGGTCACCACCATAACAGGAACAAACCTCCACAATGCAGTCTCAACATGATGTACTGTGCGACCATAAGCCTAAAGTGATGGCACCCAGCCATTTTAGGTTTAACCTAAAATCATGAGTCAAAATAAATCTCTTTTCTAAGTTGATATCTCTTGTTTCTTGTTATGGAACAAAAAGCTTACTCACATAGGTGGACAGGTTGAGGGATAGGTGACACTATGTTTGCCAGGGAGTACTTTCTACTTGTGACAGTCCTGATAGGAGCTATGCCCCCTGACTTTAAAAACAAGACATTACTGGACTCTGAAATGCACTCAACCCTTCTTGACTTTCCAGAGCTGATAGTAGATTTTTTTCCTTTCAAAAGTCATATATTTTACTCTGAAGTGTTGCTCCAACCAACTCAGACTCTCAGCTGTATCAGCCTATGCAGTTGCCTTCCTATCAGCTGTCACTCATTTGAAGTGCTGCCAAACTGTGCCTGTTCTTGGAGCAGTGGCTCAGGAAGGCATGCAGAGGCTAGTAGCTATCTGGTTTCCATATTAGGCTTTATTGTCCCAGTCCCTCCCATAGGCCCCATTCTGTGCCCCTATTCCAGATGCCCCATGGACTGGGCCTTCTGTCTCAACAGGAGCGGATATATTTGCTTAGAACAGACTGGGGACAATATAGTCAGTGTGGACACCATCAATCAATCCTTCCCCATTGTTGTGGACAAACCAGCACATAACCTTGGTACCAACACTGGCATCCATTCTGTAGTCTTTCTGGGAACCCCTAAGAAAAAGAGAGAGAGAAACTATAATGTGCATGGCAAGCAAGATGGCTGTAATGGGACTGGGTTTGTAGCTCAACTGGCAGAGTGCCTAGCAGGTGCTAGGCCTTGAGCTTAATCCCCCAATATCAAGGTGGGGGAATGGCTACAGTGGCCATGGGCTTAAGGTTGAAGAAGGGTGAAGTTGGAAATTCTTGAACTCTGGGCCCAGGACCTGTCCCTGAGCTTATACCCAAGGCTCGTGCTCTACCACTTCCAGCTTTTTCTGAGTAGTTTACTGGAAGTAAGAGTCTGATGGACTTTCCTGCCCACACTGGCTTCAAACTATGATCCTCAAAACAGCCTTCTGAGTAGCTTGGATTACAAGCATGAGCCACCAGCACCCAGTGAAAATTCTTGTCTTTTCTCCTTTTTGTGCTAAGAATAAAAGCCTAACTAAGCAGTATCCCCAGCTACTGAAACATGAAATTTCAAAAGCCTAGAATTCTTAGGTCAAGAATAAGGTGACATCGGGGCTGGGAAGGTAACTCAGCGGTAGGATGCATGCCTTGCAAGCATGAGGCCCTGGGTTCGATTCCTCAGCACCACATAAACAGAAAAAGCCGGAAGTGGCGCTTTGGCTCAAGTGGTAGATTGCTAGCCTTGAGCTGAAGAGCTGAGGGACAGTGCCCATGCCCAGAGTTCAGACC